AGACAGGGATGTCAGTGGTTATTGTGATTGTTTCCCAACCTCCATATCTCTCTCCCTCATTGTGTATCAATCATGTAATTTAGTGGTGGTGGGAAGACTGACCCTACATTAAACTGCACAGATGGGTCATAATCCTGGTCTCCTATGTCATGGCTACTGGTTCAGGTAATTCAGGCCTAAGCATGGCATTACATGGACACAAGATTGGATCACGAATAGTCATATGATTCACTGCCAACTAATACAAGATGATGTGACATAGATATGAAGCCAAGAAATCCTACAGCCATTTTGCCATCTTGAGGGAAGCAGAAAGGAGAGAGGAAAAGAAATTAGGTTTTTGATGAAATTGTTGATCTACTGAGTCTAATGAATTCTCAAGTCAGCCATACCTTTGGCCCTTCCAGTTATGTGAGACAATGTGTCTCCCTTAGTGTTTATATCAGTTTTAGTGGATTTGTTCTTGTCTGCAGCATGAAGTATTCTAACTGATATCAGACCATTCAAAGTATGGTCACTAACCCTCAGGGTGCTTAAAGAAGGTGGTGTGAAAGTGTTTAGTCCAGAGAGAAAAGTGTTGGGAGAGAGGTACAAAAAATACCAGGTCATCTCCAATTAATTGCTCCTCCAAATGGCTCCTGGGGATGTCTTCAGAGAATACATGGAGTTCTAAACACCCTTATCATGTATAAAAAGCAAGATAATCTGAAAATAATTTAGGACAAACAATTGCTCCCATGGCCACTGCTTGCTTGGTGTAACTGTCTCCTTCTAGACGTTTCAGTGGATCAATTTCTGGGCATATTAAATCCAAATTAATAAGGTTTTTCCTCTGACTCATAGATACACTTCCAACAGAAGCAGCTCCAGCTAGGTCTGTGTCTGAAATTTTAGCTTCTCAGGGATGTAGATGTATTAAACAACATGGAGGCGAACACTTAGATAGAAGATTTCCACAGAGGTTTCTGGAGCGGTGATATAATGGAGAAAATAGAACTATAGATAAGTAGGTCAGAGGACCTAAGCTTTCTTAGAAGTCATACCCAACCTGAATCTCCAGATATGGCTAAACTCTCTATTCTTCCCAAATAATCTGGAAGTGGCAGTACAAAAGATGGTCACAAAGAATCTGTTGTATCTAGCTTAGTTCCTTTATTAGAGTCTAGGCTAAAGTTTGGACAGTTTTTCTAACCCTAAAAAAATCTCACCTCATGGAATCATAGGATGATCAAACATAAAAGCAAGAAGGGTGCTTAGAAATCACTTTGTTCTATCTTGTGTTTGTAAGGGTTTGGGATAAGGGAAGTACCTTGTTTCAGATATTTAAACACCATCCTCTGTGCTGCCATGGTACCTGGTGCTTACCATTTTCAGAGCACTTGCCACATTGCATTGTCATTGCCAGTGAATACATCTGCTCCTCCTTTGAACTTGAAATTCATGAAAAGCAAAAACTGTTTCTTGCTTCCTTATATTCCTGGTACTTAGCAAAGTTTGCCATATAGCAGGTGGTCAATAAATGTTTGTTGAAGAAATCAAAGTATCAAGTCAAATGGTTAGGAAATTATGCTCCCATTAGGCAAAGGATATAGTATCTTGGTTTCATTTTCTTTGAAGGGTATAGCAGTTTCCTTCCAATGAAATAGGATGATTTCTGTTGTTGTTTTCCCGATTTTTATAAAGTTAGCAAGTATGAGGCTCAATGTATGGTGTAGATCCGCTCTTAGAATTCCACTGGCCAACGGTTCTCTATGCTTATCCAAGTGCACCTCTCAAGCCTGAAACAAGCACAAAGCTCATGAAGAGAAGTACACTATTTACTTTTTGATAAAAACTGCAATGGTTATTTTCTTGCTATTTAAACTATATCATAGAGCTCATTTAAAACTACAAAACATAGGGACTAAGACTAGGAGGTAATCCTAAATTCAGTAGGAATACTCTTAACCACAGAGGGAGAGCTAGGTTTGGGGCTTTGTTGGCAACTTCTGGTGGCTATGATGTTGCTAGTATAAAATCTAACCCCTCGTTGGAAAATCAGAGTTGAAGTTTATAAAGTGTCTCCCTGCTCTTTTGGGTGAGGGATTGGTTGCTAAAGAATCTGCATGTATTATACAGGCTTTTCAACCAACAGCAATATGCTTAGTCTACCACTGTGCCCCTGCTGGCACAGATGAGACTAGTCCAACTCTGCCAACAGCTGCCACTTACAGCTAAAAATTGAAAGAGTGGCAGCAGATAAAAGAGAGGGGGAAAGGTATTGGGCACGGGAGGATGAAAATGGAAGGGATGGGTGGCATTTACATTCATGACTTCAGTGGAGAGTTTTCAAGTGCATAGCCACCAAAATATTTTTCTGCCTCTCATCTTTAGTTACTGACCCACCCTCATCACTCTTCAAGCCAAATGACAGTGAAGATGGCCACAGATCTTGTTCTTCCACCTCCTCTTACAGCTGACCAAGCATGGGTGGGGACCTGGCTACTTTCAGGAGTGAAGTAAGACATGCTGAAAGTCACTTTCCCCTGGTACAAAATATATTGTTCACTCACATGAAATCAAAACTAAAACCTCCTCATTAAAGTTATTCCTTTGGGACAAGGCATTGAAGGTTCCTATTAAAATGCAACTGTGTTATCTAAAAGGAGAAACACCTAGTGCCTGGCAAAGAGTAGAGGTTCTTTAAATGTGGCATTTTAAATATTAAATTTTCACTGCCTGCCATTAGAACCTTAGTAAAGATTATCTCCTGGGCCTTTTGAGGAGCTACAATGGAAAGATTTTAATGTGGAACATTGGCTTAGACTTGATAGCAGAGTCTGAAGTTATGTGGAATATGAGGAGAGAGGAAGATGATAGCATGAGGAAACTTGGGGGACAAGAGGGCACTTTTAGCAGGTGAGAAAGAGGGAAGGGAGTTTGCAAATTAACATTTATTGATTTTTCTCTGAGGCAGGCACTGAATTAGATGCTTTCATATCAATTATCTTACTTAATTTTCACAATTGCCTTATAAAGAAAGATATTAATATTCCCATTTTGAAGATGAGAGAACTGGGGTTCAGATTAACAAAGTTGTTCAAGGTCACACACTGCCTATATGTGATGGGACTTAGACTTGAACCTGGACGTGTATGCCTCCTAAGCCCATGTTCCTGAATAATGCTATGTCCCTGTCTACATTTGGCAGGGGGTGACCAACCTTATCTCTGCTACCCGCTTTGCCCTAATGCTTCTTCCACTGAAAAGATGAGTCTCCTCAGACTCTCATGTTTCTCCTTCACTCCTGTCCATGAAATAGCAAAATGGAGACAAAAGATTTCTATGGGTGGTGGGTGGGAGGAAACTATGCATTATCAGAATGAATAGAAATTCAGGAAGGGCCTAGAACAATTTTTCTGATTTGAAGCCATTTTGTTCCATTGTTCTAGGCTCCAGCCTAAGTCTTGCCAAATCCAAAGTTCTGGAGTAATTGATATACTAGCTGGGCTCCAGGGTCCTTCTATCCCCTGTATATTCCCAATTGTATCCCCAATGTATATCAGTTCGCTTTACACTGGCAGGAAAGTTCATGTTCCACTTAGACCAGCAGGAGAGGATATGAAAAGGAAAATAGCAGGTGTGGGGAGGATAAAACCCATGCCTTCTACAGTAACTGTAAAGTAAAAGTGAAAAACGTAAGAGATAAAGAGGATTCTTTTTCCTCATTGCAGGAGAAAGGGGCTAGGGAGAGGGGTCCATAGCTCAGGAGGTTCATCCGCAACATGCTATGGAAAAGGCCACCCGTCACTGAAATCTGGTCGGTACTGTAGGACTTCATATGTTCTTTGCTTGCCTTAGAGCAGAGGGGAAGAAGAGTCAGAAAGAATTGATAACCTCTGAGGTCATCACTCAGGGACCTAGGCTGCTAAGTCCAGAGGCAACACCAAGGGAGCAATGCAGCTAGGTACAGTTTTCTCCAACCTCAACTTTCAATCCCCACCCCCAGACCAGCTCATTCCCACACCTCCCTCCTCCTTGGTCAGTGAGCCTGAGCGTCCTTTTCATTAACCTTTTAGTTACTACCTCCACGCACATACTTCTTCCTACGCCCTCCAAAGAAGTCAGCCCCATACTGCCCATCACTGCCCAGCACTGCCCACCCCATGCCCCCGCAAGCCGGCCTCAGCACTAGTTTAAGGGGAGGGACACGCCTCCCAAAGCTGCGGGGATGGGGGTGGGGGTTGCTCACTCGCCGTCGGATCTCTGCTGTAAAAGCGGAGCGGCAGAGACCGGGCATGCGCAGCATCTTTGGGCGCATTGTGATGGGAACTGCTTCTCTGAGTCTCTACAAAGACTCTGGAGTAACCACTAATGGCCCTCCTAAGGCCCCCCTTCTTTAAGACAGATACACGAACACAGAGGCAATGCAGTTTTTTTTGTTTTTTTGTTTTTTTTTTGAAGGGTGGGAGGAAGTTGCAGCTTAAAAGGTTGATCCACGTTAGGAGTGATGTATTTCTATTGATCCCATCTTCCGTGTCGACAAATGCCAGCGCCTAGGCTTTGCAGTCCGGGGCTGCAGTTTGCAGTAGAGCTAAGCGGTGTGCGGCTTTAATTCCACGTCAGATCAACTTTGATCAATATCCCCCTACCGGCCCAATTGGAAGAGCCCAATTCACCGGCACTGAGCCTTTTCGCTCTTTCCTTCCCCCCCGCCCCCCCCCCCGCTTTAGACCTACCATCTTTTGCGGGGGGGACGCGGGGAGAGTCTCAGATTGTCTTGATAATTTATTCTTTCATTCTCTTTCTTTTGCTTCTCTATTTTTGTTTTTCGGTGTTTTGCTTGTTTTGTTCTGTGTTTTAGGTTTTTATTCTCTCTCTCTCTCTCTCTCTCTCTCTCTCTCTCTCTCTTTCATCATAGGGAGAGGAATCGCTTTGGCAAACCCAGCTTGCAGCCAATGAACCCGCCTTCCAGATTGGTGTGAAGACAGAAGTGAGGTGGGGGGAAGGGAGGGGGTGTGAGAGATCCTGGGAGTGAGAGGGAGAGAGAGGGAGCAAGAAAGGAAGAGAGAGAGAGCGAGAGAGAGAGAGAGCGAATAAGCGAATAAGAGAGAGAGTAAGAGAGAGAGAAGAAGAAGAAGAGGAAGAAGAGGAGGCGGCGACAGCGGAGGAGGAGGAGGACTAGTGTGGGGTGGAAAGGAAGAGTGAGCGAGAGCAAGTTAAGGGGAGGGGGTGTAAGAGCCAACGGATTCTTTTTCTTTTTCTATTATTATTTTGACGACTCCTGAGTTGCGCCCATGCTCTTGTCAGCTTCGTTTTAGGCGTAGCATGGCCAGGCAGAAGAAAATGGGGCAAAACGTGCTCCGGGCGGTCTTCTTTTTAGTCCTGGGGCTTTTGGGTCATTCTCACGGAGGATTCCCCAACACCATCAGCATAGGTAAGCGCAAGCGAGCCAGTCGGTCGGTCCAGGCTCTCCCTCACCCGAGACCACTGCCCTGGCAGGGCTTTCGCTGCGGTGGGTCCCTGTTTTGTATGGCCTGGGAACTGGGACCGGGGCCGGGGACCGGCAGAGATGGTGCGGGGCGGGGGGCGGGGCGGGGGGAATCTGAGCCTCAAAGAGGTGGCTGGTCTGAAGAACCTCTGGGACAAGAGAGGGGTCTCCTGGGGATAGTGGGGGTAAAATGCTAGGTTTTCCGAGCTGAGAGGAGCACCGGAGGCGAGCAGGAGGCTGGGATGCTGCAACGGGGTGAAGAGTCGAGGTTTTTCAGCTCGCTGCTCTGGACTTTGCCATGGCGTGCGTGCAGCTCCTGGAAGTTGTCCCAGGGTAATGCCGACTGTCTGGCCGCGCCAGGGCGCATAACCCGGGCCCGGGGTGCTCAGTCCGGGGTCTCCGGCTGTCGGGAGACAGGCTGGTGCTGGGGGAGGTGGAGCCCACTTTGGATCTCCCAGACCCGGGCAGCAGCCGGAGTCGGTGGTGGATGGGGTAGGAGGCGGAGGTGAGACAAGGGGGTTAGACAAGGAGCTGAGCGGGCAAGCAGCGAAGTCACGCAGACCACGAATTCATGAATTGCCGCTGTGTCTGTCTGCAGCCCGGCTCCTGGGCTCCTGGAGGGAGTTATCTTGGCTTCTGTCTGTATTTACAAGTCTAGAAGTTAGAATTTTTGCCATTACTGAACCAGCCCCCTGTATTGTCACGGGTGAGGGTGGCTATGGGGAACGGGTTGGGGTAGCAGGGGGAACAATATTGTTTTTCTTCCCTTTCCCTTCACACAAGGAAAAGATGACCAGCTGTGCGGATGGGGAGGGGGGGTGGGGGGCGACTAGAAAAAAAAGAAGGCTTCCGCCTAAGAAAGAACCAAGTCTCACTCTTGGTTCCATCGTCCTAACCGAAAACAGCCCCCTCTTCTCCCTTCTCTCTAGCCTCTTCTTTTCAGTCTAGAAAATCCAGGTTTCTCTTGGCCAAAATCTGAGTTCACAAGTCTTGAAAGACACACAGGTTGAATATCAATCCTCAATCCCATATCCCAGTAGCATTGAGAGGTATCCGGTATCTATATTGTTCCCCAATTTCTAAATGGCCCTAGGGTGGGGGAACACAAGCCAAATCTCCGTTCCCTTTGCTTATAGGTGGACTTTTCATGAGAAACACAGTGCAGGAGCACAGCGCTTTCCGCTTTGCCGTGCAGTTATACAACACCAACCAGAACACCACCGAGAAGCCCTTCCATTTGAATTACCATGTAGATCACTTGGATTCCTCCAATAGTTTTTCTGTGACAAATGCTTGTAAGTAGATCTGCTTTTCCTCCCTTTGGGACGTTGGGGACCTCATTTGCATCTTTCTTGTGGCACTTAGGGTCTGTGTGTGTGCTGGGAGATGACTGCCTCAGTAGATATTTTAGGGGCTCTGATCCATCCGGTTTCATGCTGCATAAATCAACTCCAAAGGATACTGCTGAGGGGCTTAAGACAGTAGGAAAAACTCAAGACAGTGGGCAAAAGTCTGCTCCAAATAGTGTTTGATGCAAAAGTTTCATTTTCCTCCCTGCTAACCTAGTGTGTTCCTTCTCCAACTCTCTCTCTCTTTTTTTTTTAACTGGGGAAAAAAAAGAAAGAAAAAAATAGCATGGTTGTTCAGAGAAATTTCTTCAGATGAGATTAAAAAAAGAATCAGCAGCTTCTTGATTGAGTCAATTCAGGATGTACATCACTTGACTGTTAAAGCTAGTGCCTGGCTGTAGGAACGAGCTGAATTTGACAATTGCCTAATGTGTAGGAAGCAAATATGAGAAATTCTGCAAACAAGTGACCTTGAGGGGCAGAACAGGCTGGGTTCCCTGGCCTCTTTCTGTCCTCAAATATTACCTTCCTTACTGAGAGAGCTCTGATAGGAACTGATAAGACTACAAACTGATTGCAAGTGATGAATGCCTAGCGAACTGAGGGGAAGGGAGAAAATGGTGATCAGGTGATGATTTGGAAAACTAGTTCTGCCTCCCCTAGTGTTGTTCACCCCCATGATCGTTAAGGACAACACAGTTCTTAATTTAGAGCAAGGAGGGGGCAGGAGGAGAGGAGGCTTGGAGCAGGAAAACTGAATATGGAAAGAGAAGTAATTCAGCCCCAAAGCCGGTTCTGAAATCCTTAGCCGTACCCCGTGATTATTCCTCTGAAAAGGGGACATTTTGTAAAATACAACCAAAGGAACCTAAATGGCTAATAGCCTGTTGGACATATGGTTTTACTTGAATGGAATGTTTCGTGAGAAAGACTGAGAATTCTTCATGTAAGCTTATTTCACTAAAAGTTTTCACAACAATGAGGCTGAATATGGTATAAAATATGCTTTGCTTTTATGGCTGATGTAGTTTGGAATTTGGGGTTTTTTTTCCTTTCTCTTCCAAGGGAGAAATGATGTTTATGTTTGGATGGGTGAAACTTTGTGTATGACTTTCTTTAAATCCTTCTGCCTCAAAGGATACATGGTTTCCAGAAACCATCGAAAGGGTCTCTCTCCAAGGGCACAGATTCCTTGGCTTTGAAGACTTGGGCCAAGGGGTTGGGGGGGTGATATACTCTGCAAGGAATATGACAGTTATCAGCTTTAAGAAAATTTTAGCTGAAGATACAGATCCTTATATGAACATGTTCTGAGATACTCCATATTTGACTTTCTTTGGCTTTCTGACATTGACAAAAATAGGAATTTATTAATTCCAGCTAAGTGTGAAAGTTATGAAATATCTGTCTATACTTTGCATCTTATTTTGGTAATCCCAGCCTGTCTCCACAGCATTTACAACACACATCTGACTCTTAATCCTGCAGCACTGTGATCTTGTCAAGAGGCTGAATCTCAAATGCAGCTTCCTAAATATCAATTAGAACAGATTTAAAACTAAATACATTAAACTACCAGGGTTTATTATCATTAATAACAAATAATATTTATTTCAACTCCCTTCAGTGTCTTTTCACTGATGAGAACTGGGATAAGAGAACCATTTGGTTTCTCAGAAATGATTGATTTCCAAGGTTTTTGGTCCTGTTCTTATGGTCAAACCAGATTGACACCCACCAGCCCTAGACTATCGGAACCCCACTCAAGAAGCAATCAGAAATGATTCTTGCCATGTGAAAATCTCAGGTTTAGGAAAAGGCAATAAGTCATCCATATTGGTATTGAGTTGCCTTATTGCCTTACCTCTCAGGGCAATAAGAGAACAACCATGGGAAAGGAAAAGAAATTGATGAAAATCCCTCACCGTAAATTCATAGCATTTCCACTTACAAGGCTGGGTTGTGGCTAGGGGCTTGAGAGTTTGGGAGAAGGAGTGTGGCTCACTGGGCAACAAGAAAAAAAACGAAAACGTGACCTTGCCCTTAGTTATGTCAAATACACATGTATGCATGCACAGACATATGCAGGAAAAACAGCTAGAAAAACCAGTGTTGTGTATCTAGCTGCCTGTTGCTTTCTCTGAAGACAGAGGAGGAAAGCTGTCATCTTCTCTGGTCCCTGAAACAGACATCTCTGAATGTCACAATCATTGAATGGGGGCCAGAACTCAAAACTGTCTCCAGGCAGCTGCTGCCTGGTAGCTTAGTATGAGAAAGATGACTGGTCTAACCATAGTCTTTGAATGCAGAAACCAATGATTTCAAGGGGCCAAAGAAGCCCTGGAGGTGTTTCTCATTTCTGCCCCTGGCTTTGATTGTTCTTTTTCTTGTGGAAGTGGAGATCAAATATTTCCAACTGGCATGAAATTCTAGTTCAGTGCTGGAGCCTGACAGGTGACCCCCAGGTTCCACTCCTCCAATTGATCGCCCTGATTGTGCAAAGAAAAATCTCTGTATCCTCTGGCCTGCCCTTCTCTGGAGACCTAGGGAGAATTCCAGAAAACCACAGATGAGTCTCAATCTGGCCAACCACCTCTCCTATCTGGTTCAATATGGAATGGGCTGCAAAAATTAAAGAAACTTTCCCTTATTCCTAGGCAAAATTCCTAGTTTCAACTTTCCTTAGCACTAGAATTGATCTCTTCTCATGATCTTTCCTGCACCCTCAATCCTGAGGCAGGCACACACTTTCTAGGGTGTAGGTGTGCAGGTAAACGAATATACAAAGAATAAACAAAGGGTAATTCCTTCATTTTTGTGTCCCTGTTCTCCGTTCTCCCTCCGCATTGCCCACCCCTACAACCTCTGACAACCTATTTGAAAAGTTTCCTTGTGATGAATCCCAGGCATCAGTTATTTAAAGACTCTTCTTCATCAGAAACCAATTCTTTTGCACAACCCCCAAGAGGTTTGCTTAAGACAGACTCCAACTTTATTCCATGTCTTACAAGGCCAATAAGAGCCGCACTGGCTTTGAAAGGTGGTTAATTTGGGATCTCAGCTCAGAGATGGATTGAAGTTTATCTAAGAGACTCACCTGATTTGAAGCACATGTTCCCATTTCATGGGAATTTATAGAGTTTGCTGCCTTACTTTTTAACTTAGCTAGATAACCCCAGAACCAAGAATGGTGTGAATATTTTGACTTCAGGATACATACATTCATAGACACACAATCAGTGTATATGAAAAGAGATGTATACACATGTAAGTTACATGTTTGTTCTTTAGAAAACAGATTTGATAGTCCTAAGGCTTTGGGGGCAGGGATATGGAAACACCAAGGGATTGATGTGTCCCATTGTGTGGCTTTGCTGTCCTGGTTCCTCAGGAAACGTCGCCGATTCCCTTGAAGTCCCCTCCTGTGTCTTGCTACTGTGCACTTGTAGTGCACTCCACACTACACCGCCCCAGCCTCTGCAGTGTCAGCTCATTAGCACACAGATCTCATATTCCCTCTCCGCACTGTCATTGCAAAAATTGCTGTTGTACACCTTTACAGCCAACAAATGTGCTTGTGGATTACGCACTGTTTGCAAGAAGCAGGGAAAAGGCAAATGTAACCTTAAAGGTTATTCACCACGGAATTGTGCTCTAAATGCATTGGCTTAAATAAAAATCTGTTGATGGAGGCACAATGGTGATGGTGGGATTGAGAATAGGACTTAGGAGTGCAGGCTCTAATGGAGTCCCAAGTAAAATTCCTTTTGCTGGCTAAACCTAACCCATCAGATGCAAATTTTTATTCCATTAATTTTTTTCAAGCCATTTGAAATATACCTGCTGAGAACACACTCCTTTTATAACTGAGTGCGTTTCACTACCAAATATACTTAGCTGAGACAGGTTTCTTTCTCTTTCCTACAGAGTCACAATCTAATTATCTAATTATTCTAATTGCCAAAATCAATTTAACTATTTATGTCCATTTGGGAAGGAAATGTCTCCCTTGATCCTATTCTTTGCAGTTTGGTGGGTTTTGTTTTGTCTTGGTTTGGCTTTGGTGTCTGTCCTTTCCATGTAAGATTTGGAAACCAGGTGAAGACTCCTGGGATCAAGATCAAGGCTCCTTCCTTTAAACAGATTTTGCCATACTACCCAACATTGACTGCTCTGGCTCCACTCCCTCCCTCACTCCCCCTCTTCCCTGCCTTTGTGCCTTTGCTGCTCTCCCTCTCTCCTCTGTCTGCTGGCCAGCCTTCAGTAAGCTTGCCGGCTTAGCTCACTTCTCAGCCCGTCTGGCTTAGCCCCCTAAAGCACAAAGACGTTGCCTTAGTGGTGCCAGTCAAAAATTTAAGTCATCTTTTTACAAGGTTTATTATGGTTTTTAAAATTTATTTTTCACAGGGCGGGGGAGGGAAGAAGCTGATGCTGTTCATTTGGGCCATAAAAATAGATGGCAATCAGCAGGCTGTAAAGGTGAGCTTCCTGCAAAGTGTATTACCTCCCCTAGAAGGCAGCTTCCTATTGATCTACTAAATCAGGGGGGAGAGCAGCAAGAAGGATTTGAAGGAAAGGAATAAGGGGAATTATTTTGTTCCCCATCTACATTTACTGCAAAATGGGCCATGGTTTTTCTTCCTCTCTGCAATTTTAACTTTTTTCCCTAAAATGAAACTAGTTTTTCACATTTTCCTACTTCTGCCCCTACAGAGGTAATTTCCTTAATTCTGCATTTCCCTCCCTAGTCCCTGAGATTGAGTGATAATAGTGGAGGATATGTTTTTGGCTCCTGATGTATTTTTAAATTTCATTGTTATGGGTAGTCAGAGGTGATTGGCTGGTTTCATTTTAACAGATTGAAAAATAAATGACGCTCCTGAGGCATCATTATTTGTCTTCCTTTGTGGATAAGAGATTTGTCATTTTTACACAGTTGGTTTAAG